TTGTATTCTGAAGTTCAGTTGACTATAGTGTTACAGGCCAAGATTCATAATTCAGGTAAAGAAGAGAAGCCAAACCCTTGGTGTCTAGACTCCAGCACCCCAGAGTCAAGTGGTTTTCGAGAAACTGAGCTCTGATGCTTCTCTATCAGGGACCAACAATTATGTTTACAATAAAAAAACCTCTAATACCTCTTTACTTGTAACTTACAATTGAAGTGTTTTATATCCTGATCCACACACACACACAGGTGTTTGAAGTTTTTACCTGAATCTGTGAGTGCACAACGACACCCAATGACACATACATTTGATCCATTTATTTCATTTCATCTAAGCTGTGGGCACCCACACACTGGTGCACTGGGAGGCAGATGTATGATTGCATAACTCATTACATAATGTGCCCATCTTCTCCAATCCGGCTGCTCTTTTCTCTGCCAGAGAGTCAGGAAGGTTACACGGAGCTGAGCTCTGCCCTGACGGCTGCTCCGACAGGCCTCCAGCTAGACTCATAGATGAAAGCAACTGCTGCAGCAATCAAACAACATCAGATGGAGAAGGAGAAGGATATGGGACAGGTATGATCAGGTGAGATGAAGGGGATTGAATCACAACTGGATTTGCTTCAGGAGCCAAATTTTACACTGGACATCAAGTGGCAAGTCAATATGGTTCCACAAAATTAAACAGAAATGGCCTAAGAGATTCTGAAGTGTACATTTTGCTATCCCATGGGTGCAGATGAAAAAAAGTAGGGTAAAACAGTTTTCGCACAAGCATTCTTCTGCTGATGTGGATGGAACACCACATTAAATTACATTTTATTAGCATGCATATTTATTAAATGCACCACAACAATGCTACCGAATCTACAGTGTGAAACAGACAGCCCAATCAGTGTATGATTACCGAACAAATGACTCTTAAGAGCCAGTTCTTCTTAGTGAATCAAACACATACTGCACAACTAGTGTAGTCCGATTCCCATGTAAACGATACTAATTGGTCTGTTCTTTTTAGCGAATCAAACATGTAAAGTACAACTAATGTCATAAGATTTCAGAACAAATTATTCGAATGAGTCTGATCAATGAATCAAACACACACTGCACAACTAGTGTAGTAAGAATCCCGAAAAAAATATTCTAATGAGTCAAATCTTTTTAATAAATTAAATGCACATTGCACAACTAATGTAGTAAGATTCTCAAACTAATTATTTTAATGAGTCCGATGTTTTTATAGTGTAGTCCAATTCCCAAACATATGATTCTAAAGAGTCAGTTCTTTTAATGAATCAAGCACGCTCAGTTTACAGCTTGTAAGACTTAAATCAGTTCAATTACTGACTGTTTATGACAACATGTGGTTAAAGATACACATTATGTATAGTGACCAGAAACCTTTAAGTAACCAGAATGATTAAAAGGAATACGGAACAGAATAATTTAATTATTTTTGGATTCCATTACTAATTATAGGTCAATGAATACGAGCCACAGGACAATGTCAACATGGTGGATGCAGTATATCTGGTAATGTATTCATACTACACATTAATGGTTGATAAGTTCAAATTCAGTACATACTATGAAGCAACAGGAATTCAAGCGCAGCCATAGAGTCAGAAGAAGGAAAAACAGTGTCAGAGAGTGAAGAGAGTACAGTTTGTCTACAGTCTCCTCAAACTCAGAATTCATGGCACAGATATGACAAGAAACAGAGACAGTTGAATCAGTCACACAGAGATGGAAGAGTGAGTCCTGACATAAAGCTATCCAACCCTGACGCACCACTCTTACTTAAAGGCACACTTTGATGTATCTATAATTACTACATACTGCCTTCGAAAAGAAATCGAATTTCAATGAAAAGAAAGAGAGGGAGAGAGGCAACATGCTGGAGACATTAATCCGCCTGTGTTTGATGTGCCTGATCAGAAACATGTTTGTTAGGAGTTAAAGGGAGCAGTAATTAAGCCACAGACGGCCTGTTTTCAGGCAATCTGCTATGACCGGCCCTCTCATTAGATAGGGTTACAGTCAATGAAATGTACAGATGATTTGAGTTCTTGTTAGTGTAATGTTAAATGAATGAATGAATGAATAAATAAAAACTCAAATAAATACTCATTTTACTCAATTTCGCTTGAGGAGTTACCAGTGCATTTACAAAACTATAAAAAATTGTATGTCAAACAGCTGAAATGATTAAACAATTTTAACTTGAGATGTTATACAACATTATTCATGAGATCTATACAGATAATCTGTGTTTTTGACGACTAAGTTCAGTCCTCCAGTCATCCAATTCATCAGAATATACCTGCCACTCCATACCAGAGATTACCAAACCAATGAAAGGCATAAGAATGGTTTGTATATGAAATAGTGTGTATAAGTGAGCATTCCGTCTATGTGTGTGTGTGAGTCTTTGGAAATGAGAAAAGGGGGAAAAAAACAGGGATGCATCAGAGAAAGGTGGCTAAACAGATCTCTGGAGGAAGACCGCCATGGTTCCACCAGCGAGGGGCTGTCACGGCCACAACGCCACATAAATATTTAACAGTTATATTCAAATTACGAAACACAGAGACTCCTGCCTCAGATAAACACACATATTCCAGGAATTATCAGAGGAATGCTAAATCATGGTCATCCACTCCACCCTTCCTTTTTCTCACTTTAAAAGAAAAGTGGAACGGGTTCATGAAAAGGTGTAGGAGTGTGTGTAAGAAAGAAGAAAGTGTGCGTTTATGTTAGTTCAAAGGTTAGCCAGAGTGCTCCTGGGGAAGTTGTCCTTACAATGTACACACCTAGACTAGAGATTGAGACAAGCTACCTGACCTTCGACCCCAGAGGTGATGTAACACAGGGTACATAGCTGAAAACTAAAAGGTTAGTTCATCAAAGAAAATGTGGTCATCATTTTCTCTTTGTGTCATTCGAAACATTTTCATCCGTGAAAAACAAAAGAGAATGATCTTAATAATCTGTGCCATATAATGAGACATTAGCTGTCAAGGACTATATAGCACCGTAAAAGTAGCTCATAAGACTTATACACTATATTTCAAGTCTTGTAAAATCATACAATAGATAGAAATCTTCACCTCCACTATAGTTCTCAGAAGTTCTTGCTTGAGATTGATCATGTGAAATATAACAACCAACTCCGTTTGCCATCAATGACTTCAAAACTTGTTTCAGCATATTCGGTAGGATGAAAAATGGGTTGAGAAGAAACAAAAAGTGCACATTTACAGTAAAAGAATGAAACGTGAAGCCACTAAGAACCTTTAAGCATCTAGTGCCACCATTTCCTAGACATAAAACATACCTGGAGCCTCCAGCAGTACATCTCTAGACCCTTTCAGGTGGCAGAAGAACTGAAAATCAACTCCCAACTACTACCAGTTTCTGGAAGACGCTTTCTTCAAACATTGGAACAATTTAAGAGAATCCAAGAAGACAATGCTAGTAAAAAAGCTAGTTCATGCATTCATGACCTCTAGACTGGACTATTGTAATGCACTGCTAGGTGGTTGTCCTGCATCTTCAATAAACAAGCTACAGGTAGTCCAAAATGCAGCAGCTAGAGTCCTTACCAGGTCAAGAAAATATGATCATATTACCCCAATTTTACAGTCTCTGCACTGGCTACCTGTTAAGTTCCGTATCAGCTACAAAATATTATTTATTGCCTATTAGGCCCTTAATGGGTTAGCTCCTGCGTACCTAACTAGTCTTCTACCACGCTACAATCCATCACGCTCCCTAAGGTCACAAAACTCTGGACTTTCGGTAGTACCTAGGATAGCAAAGTCCACTAAAGGAGGTAGAGTTTTTTTGCATTTGGCTCCCAAACTCTGGAATAGCCTTCCTGATAATGTTCGGGGTTCAGACACACTCTCTCTGTTTAAATCTAGATTAAAGACACATCTCTTTGGCCAAGCATTCAAATAATGCATCTCGTAATCTTTTACTGCAGTTATATCTGATCAAATGCACATTATTATTCTTTAGTTTGGGTTAAACAAACCAACTTTGCTTGGTTGGAACAGCAGCTATGCTAATTAAGTCTCTACTTGTTTCTCCGTTTCTGTAACTAGGATTTACACAAGCTTCAGTCTGGATCCAGAACACCTGAGAAGAGATGATGCCCACCCCTCAGAGGACCTCAGATGATGCCAACCCTGAAACAACATACAGAACTACCACATTTTGCTATAAGTTTGATTGCATCATATAATAATTGCTGTTAATAGTGTTCATTGTCTGTTTGATTACGTCTTTAATTGATTTTTCCGTACATTTCTGCCATATGTACATTAACTGACAGTCACCACTGATAAGCTACCACTAAATATTGTTGAAACCTCTGTGGCATTTTTCAGAGATCTGTTTTACAGAGGCACTGAAAATAAGGATGTCTATATTGGCCCCAAAATTTGATAAATGGTCAATATGTTATTAGATTACAAATAATTATTATATGTTTTTATTAGTTAATTATTAAAGCATTTTTTTCTATTTAAGGTTAATGGGAAAATTATGTAATCTGGTTGCCTAATAATTGCACAAATTTATTAATTAAAACAAATGATGACCAAATTTTCTTTTTAGGGTGCATTAACTCTATTTACACAAAATTTTTTATTTTAGACCAAATGAGAGACTATGACTTCTTTCTCTTTTCTCTCAGGGTCTGTTGTTATGCATACTTGTCTACATGCTTTAACAGAGCTGTAGCTCTCATTGCAGTTTCTCATTCTTTCTTCATCCTCCCTCCTGCTCAAGGAAGTGGATAGTGCCTTAGGACAAGGATGAACTGGATTGTTTACAAAAGCAGCACTTTCTCAAAGAAACTAAGTATTATTTATTTTTAATCATTTCGCTCTCTCTTCTGCTGCTTTTCCCACCGGTGAAGACAACTGTGTGCATGTCGAGGAAGTGGAGGGGGAGGGCTTTTCATAATAATAACCTCTAACAAATACTTACCAAATTCACAAATGACAAGCCGCCATAGCTGTGTGCCACGATGAGGACATTTTTCGCAAGTGATTTAGAGATGAATTGGTCCCACACATAGAGCGTGTGTTCCTCAGGAGTGCTGTTTTCCTGTAAAGACAAAGTGGGAATAACTGAAGTTAAAGGGGTCTTATAATGAGAAATAGAATTTTCCTTGAAATTTTAAAACAGGAGTTTTCAAGATGGGGGGCTGCAAGGGAGTGCTTGAGGGTCCGTGGAAAAGTTTAGAGATATACAGTGAAATAAATAAGATTTAAAAAATAATAAAAGTTGATATATGTGGATACCCCTTTTAATTAACTCACTAATATTTTAATCAAAATGTAGGTCTATATTTACATAAAATAAAAATGTTAAAATATACAGAATATACAATCTACTAAAACACATTTTATTTTTTTGAACCTTTAAGTTAGGCTGAAGACTGCACCCATAAACTCACACACAGCCACATTCACACAGTTAAATATATCTTACTCAATCAATGAATCTTGCATACTGCAAATGCCTCCAACGCAAAACTCAATAGATTGTGTGACGTCAAGTTTAAATCTTAATTTGTACCCCGCTGACTGATCAATACGGCGTCTATAGGAGCGATAAACACATAATCGGCCTACATGGGAAGGTCACACAAGCAGGGCACAAACACAACACTCGTAATTAACACTGGCCTGGGGTTATAACGCTCTACGAATGTGAGGCGAGAGAGAGAAAGAAGAGAAAGGGCATTCATTCATTCACTGGCGCATGCAACATCGATCTGCGTGTTTGTTTGCAAATACGGCAATCGTTTAAATGCAGAATAACAACTAAATTAGAGGAAAATCACTAGCAACAACTGAGTGAACGTGGGTGTCGGTGACATAAAACGGCAAATATGGCAGCTATACAGCTGCGTGATATAAAGAGCTGGCCTTGTCACAATCAGCTCCTGAAAGTTTGCAGCCTTGCCCTGAGTTTAGCCTCTCTCTCATGATCTTGCATCAGCTCTCCCACATTGATTAGCTTTTTGAAAAGCACAATAATAAGTGAATTAGAGCTGAAGGAGCTGGCAGGAGGGAAGAGATTTCCTGTCACCGAGATAGCTTGTGTTGGCGAGGGGACACAAATATGAAAGTAAATAAACAGGCTGGTGGGAGGGGGGGTTACGACGTGATGCAACTGGCAGAAAGCGCTGAGCCCAGATTTCCTTGGACGGCTGGGAGGTGGGTGCAGGGCGGTGAAAACAGGGACGAGTCTGCATGTCTTTCTGTCACACCCTCAGACATCAAAGCGTTTTGAAGAACCAAAGCTGAGTCATCATCGCAGCGCATTTCATATTCATAAAGCTCTCGGTGCTCACACACGCAAGCCAGGACACAGTAATTCGTTTATATCCACTCACTAAATAAAAGTCCCTGGTCTTATTGTATCTTATTGATGTAACCAATGCCATGTGGGCAGGAAAACACAAAAAGTGGCAGGCACAAGTCAGTAGAGTCCACCCTCAAGTCTATATACTAACTAATTAAAATAGGCAAAATACTATTTTAAATAATACACTTACACAATAATATATGCACTTACACAACATACAGTATGCACAGATGTGTGACAGCGCTATTAAAAGTCACGTAGCATAAAAGCTAAGGTAGCTTTTGGTTTGCATGTAGACACTTGTTGAGGCTATTTTTTCAGTTCAGCCTTAAAAAACAAAACAAAATAAAAAACAACCAGAACAGAACAGGGGGAGTATTCCAGAAAGCAGGTTATGTGACATACCCAGGTATGCTTAAGGGTAAGTAAATGGATAAACTCAGCTTTCGGTTCCAAAAACGGAGGTAACTTTCAGGGTATGTAAGTAGCCATAGCATTTGACGAGACTCCAGTGGGTGTGACAGATATTAGTTGTGTAATATATATATATATATATATGTGTGTATGTGGAGTGTAACAGCACACGTACCGAAAATTTTATGAAAATACACATCTGATATGACTTATTATATAATATAATTAGCATCAAACACACAATATAATTCTTATTCTCAAGGATTAAAGATTAAACGGAAAACAAAAGAAAAATGATTGCACAGCCACCTGTTAGGTGGCGATATGAACCAAGTATGCAAATGGCCTTTGAACAAAAGAAGAAGAAAGAAGAAGCATGGCGCGCTTTTTCTGAGCGTTCGTTTCCATAGTGACTCGTCGATTCGTCACTCTGTTGAGAATGTCTTGCGTGTTAACCAGGAACATACTCTGTGTTGAATTAACTTACTCCCAGACGCGTTTTTGGAACCAGCATACCTCGAGTAAGCAAGGTTTGGGTTAATCAACCGAGAGTTCAGGGTTTGGCAGATGGTAAGTTAACCTTGCTTTCTGGAATACACCCCAGAACAGAATAAAACAGAACAAAACAAAACACTAGGGATGTAACGATTCACTCAACTCACGATTCGATTCGATTCGATTCTTTGACGTCACAATTCGACTCACGGTTTTATTTTTTTTACAAAATGAGATTTAAGACAAATTATAAATGAAATGTATCCTTTTATTATTGCTTGGACAAAATGCTGCACGTTTCTTAGTGAAACTGAAATATATCACTATAATAATATACTAATATAGTGCATACTTGCATATTATTGCTCTTTTGCTGGTTTTGATTGCTTCTATTGTCCTTATTTGTAAGTCGCTTTGGATAAAAGCGCCTGCTAAACGACAAAATTTTAATATAATGTAAATGTAAATAACAAAACTAAATTGAAATTTTAAAACAAACCCCAAATCAAATAAATTTGTACCCCGCTGACTGATCAATACGGCGTCTATAGGAGCGATAAACACATAATCGGCCTACATGGGAAGGTCACACAAGCAGGGCACAAACACAACACTCGTAATTAACACTGGCCTGGGGTTATAACGCTCTACGAATGTGAGGCGAGAGAGAGAAAGAAGAGAAAGGGCATTCATTCATTCACTGGCGCATGCAACATTGATCTGTGTGTTTGTTTGCAAATACGGCAATCGTTTAAATGCAGAATAACAACTAAATTAGAGGAAAATCACTAGCAACAACTGAGTGAACGTGGGTGTCGGTGACATAAAACGGCAAATATGGCAGCTATACAGCTGCGTGATATAAAGAGCTGGCCTTGTCACAATCAGCTCCTGAAAGTTTGCAGCCTTGCCCTGAGTTTAGCCTCTCTCTCATGATCTTGCATCAGCTCTCCCACATTGATTAGCTTTTTGAAAAGCACAATAATAAGTGAATTAGAGCTGAAGGAGCTGGCAGGAGGGAAGAGATTTCCTGTCACCGAGATAGCTTGTGTTGGCGAGGGGACACAAATATGAAAGTAAATAAACAGGCTGGTGGGAGGGGGGGTTACGACGTGATGCAACTGGCAGAAAGCGCTGAGCCCAGATTTCCTTGGACGGCTGGGAGGTGGGTGCAGGGCGGTGAAAACAGGGACGAGTCTGCATGTCTTTCTGTCACACCCTCAGACATCAAAGCGTTTTGAAGAACCAAAGCTGAGTCATCATCGCAGCGCATTTCATATTCATAAAGCTCTCGGTGCTCACACACGCAAGCCAGGACACAGTAATTCGTTTATATCCACTCACTAAATAAAAGTCCCTGGTCTTATTGTATCTTATTGATGTAACCAATGCCATGTGGGCAGGAAAACACAAAAAGTGGCAGGCACAAGTCAGTAGAGTCCACCCTCAAGTCTATATACTAACTAATTAAAATAGGCAAAATACTATTTTAAATAATACACTTACACAATAATATATGCACTTACACAACATACAGTATGCACAGATGTGTGACAGCGCTATTAAAAGTCACGTAGCATAAAAGCTAAGGTAGCTTTTGGTTTGCATGTAGACACTTGTTGAGGCTATTTTTTCAGTTCAGCCTTAAAAAACAAAACAAAATAAAAAACAACCAGAACAGAACAGGGGGAGTATTCCAGAAAGCAGGTTATGTGACATACCCAGGTATGCTTAAGGGTAAGTAAATGGATAAACTCAGCTTTCGGTTCCAAAAACGGAGGTAACTTTCAGGGTATGTAAGTAGCCATAGCATTTGACGAGACTCCAGTGGGTGTGACAGATATTAGTTGTGTAATATATATATATATATATATGTGTGTATGTGGAGTGTAACAGCACACGTACCGAAAATTTTATGAAAATACACATCTGATATGACTTATTATATAATATAATTAGCATCAAACACACAATATAATTCTTATTCTCAAGGATTAAAGATTAAACGGAAAACAAAAGAAAAATGATTGCACAGCCACCTGTTAGGTGGCGATATGAACCAAGTATGCAAATGGCCTTTGAACAAAAGAAGAAGAAAGAAGAAGCATGGCGCGCTTTTTCTGAGCGTTCGTTTCCATAGTGACTCGTCGATTCGTCACTCTGTTGAGAATGTCTTGCGTGTTAACCAGGAACATACTCTGTGTTGAATTAACTTACTCCCAGACGCGTTTTTGGAACCAGCATACCTCGAGTAAGCAAGGTTTGGGTTAATCAACCGAGAGTTCAGGGTTTGGCAGATGGTAAGTTAACCTTGCTTTCTGGAATACACCCCAGAACAGAATAAAACAGAACAAAACAAAACACTAGGGATGTAACGATTCACTCAACTCACGATTCGATTCGATTCGATTCACGATTTTAATTTCACAATTCACTGTGAACTTTTTTACAAAATGAGATTTAAGACAAATTATAAATTAAATGTGTCCTTTTATTATTGCTTGGACAAAATGCTGCACGTTTCTTTGTGAAATTGAAATAAAACACTATAATAATATACTAATATAGCACTTGCATATTATTGCTCTTTTGCTGGTTTTGATTGCTTCTATTGTCCTTATTTGTAAGTCGCTTTGGATAAAAGCGCCTGCTAAACGACAAAATTTTAATATAATGTAAATGTAAATAACAAAACTAAATTGAAATTTTAAAACAAACCCCAAATCAAATAAATAAGTAACACAAATAAAATAAATCAAAAACAAAATAAGGCTTTGTCTGTGCTCTTTCCATTTAAAATTAGAGGCAGGCAACTACTGCAT